CTTTTTACTTCTCTCCCATTAGGCATTTTATGCAAGAGTAACTCTTCCAAGCATCTGTTTGGTCATAGTGACAAAAAAATCCCATAAAATTGTCAATCCTTGTAGATCCAATGTTCATTAATGTTGCTACAAGTGGGGTTCTTCATGTAACAAAATATTTCTGGGGTTTTCTTTCCTTCCTTTTTTAAGGAACTTTACAAGGATGTGGATTTTTTCCGTACAAATTCCTGATGATGCTTCAAACTGGAAAATTCGGATGTTGTTCTCCTCCTAATGAACTTTTTCCTCTGACCTACGTCATGGACCAGTGCAAACTTTATTTTTGCGGAAGAAATAGCATTGACAGGCTGAACAGCTCATTGAGATTTGACTCAGTAACCAAGTACAGTGCCAAAGCTTAAGCAAGCAAACCACCCTAATTTAATATTTATTAGTCTTTGACATTCATTGAGGTATGTCTCCATAGATAAATACCCAACAGATACTCTGGAGTGTGATGCAGCATGCAGAAAACAAAAGGTTTGACTTCCTCCCTCCACCCGCCCTCAGAGTTCAGACAGAAGTTATTTGTCATGAGGAGAGGTTGCATGATCTGCTATGTAATAATAATAAAATAAAATTGGTTGTCCTAATTTGAATATTCAGACTTAACAAGAACTTTGCGTTTCTTCCCCCAAAATGTAAATTCCAAACACAGCATTATAAAAGAAGAAAGCTTTAAGTATTAGTGAAATGATCTGTAGGAGAAGAGGCGCCTGTTCTGCCAGCGAGATGTTGTTGCGGTAATATGGCTGAATGATGGAGGTGAAGGATCGCGTGTTGACAGCGTTGTGGTAGATGAGCAGTGGGATGGAAGCTGTCCTGGGCACTGTGGCAATTTCAGTCTGCCTGAAACAGCAGAACCATTTGGTGAAGTCCATGCTTCTAAGGGAAAAAGGGCATTTGCTCACTCTGTTCTTTTGTCGCCCTTATGACAACTGCGGTCAGATGGTTATGTACGACAGCACTGCAGGTATTTGATTAACATAGAATATAGTAGGTTTGCCTTCTACTGAGTTGTCATATACTCGTTTCTTTTGTTTCTCCTCTGTTGCATGTATTAAGACCAGAGAGGGTTGTTTAGGAGTGCAGTCTTGTCCCCGAAGTGAAGGAATTCACACTGCTCTTTGAATTTGAACTCCAATAAAAATAGATGCTAAGCCTCAAAGCTGCTGGAAAAATGACTACTTGGAGTTCTCTTCCAGTAGCCTATTGCCGATGTTAACAGTTTGGGGGTGTTTGTGTATGTTTTTCAAAGTACTTGTACTTTTACTAACATAAGAGCAACGTACTCAGTGCAGTGCTTCTTGAGCCCTGGTGGTGCTTTCGCATGTCTCTGCGTCAAGTGAGACCAAATTGAAGTTAACAGTGAAAAATCTGATGTACACCTTGATCTTTTTTGGCTTACTTGTTTTGTATGGAACAAGGAGTTGCTGTCTGCAGGTTTTTGTGGACGGTCACGCCTTGTTTTTTTGTTGTCCTGTATTTCAAGAGATCAGAATCCCAAACAACCAACTGGCTGAACAAGCACCAAAGTTTTGGGAGCTGTTTGAAGACTGTGTAAAGGATGAGTCTACCAGTGAAAGGAACACAGATTCACAGATGAGAATGGCCCCGAGTTATGATTGATTTTGATATTTTTTATTTTTTTTTTCTTAAAGGCAGAAGGATGCTGTGGTACCCAGTCTGGTATTAACGCCTGGTGATACCCCAAAGCCTTCCTTGGAAAGGCTGCAGGAGACCCTCCTTGCCAAGGAGGCTGAAGTTAGCGTGGGCAGTGCCCGCAGTTTGTAGGCGCTGGCTGAGCACAGCCAGCTGTTTCTGACCTCTGCGCCATCTCTTCGGGTGGGCTGTCTCCTCAGTGCCAGGCCCTGGGCTCCCCACTTTTACATGGGGGAACCCCTCAGCTTTTTGTGCTAGGAGGCAGCCTTGGCTTCAGCTTTTAACTGCTGTGAATCTTCCAGTAAGGTGAAAAGAAATAGAATTCATCTTAAGGTGTTACCTGTGTGGGAGCTATGTGACTAGCAAGTCTGAAGAAACACAAGTTGGCCTTTTCAAAAACAAGACAGCTTTTATTAGTTGACTGGTGTACGGTGTTGTAGAGTCCTTTTGGAGTGGAAAAGCAGCGCTGGCATTTATAGTTGTGCTAGCAGTGTGACCTCCCTCTGACCAGAAACATCTTTTTGCACAGAGCCATGAAGTCCATAATAGTCCTTTTTTTTTTTTTAAACAATAAATTATAACTTCATTTCATATTGGCTGGGGCTGCGCTTTGTTTTTCATGATGCAGTAGGGTAATGTTAAGGTGTATCTTAATGCATGGCTTGTTTGGTTCTCAGCCAGGGAAAGTCCACTGAAGCTGCACGTCCAGTGAAGCAGATACAGTGTAAGTTAAGGCTCCTCAGTGCAATGATAGCATGATAAATAAGTAAGAACCTCACTTCTTTCTTTTTTCCAGCTTCTAATCATTCTGCTTTCTCTTAGCTTCCAGTTGTTGCAAAATAAACCTTGATTGTTAATCCTCCCTTGTAACACTAGCCACCTGCTGACAGTTCTTGGTAGTTATTTCACAGCAGACATGCTCACCTGACCAGACAGCCCCTTCTTTGTGCTGTGGCACAAATTAACCCTTCATTCTGAGCAAATGTTAGTGCAAGCTCGAGTGGGGATAAACCTGAAGATATTCATTTGTGTGTTTTGTAGGTACCTGGCTGAGCGCCCACTGAAATGAATTTTTTAATGTTGCTGAGGTTTTCCTACGTAATGTTACGTTATGCAATTGTGGAACATTAGATGGAATAATTAAACTTGCCACCTACTTAACTGACCAAGGCAGGCTGGGTGATGCACTTGATTGTACAGCATCTGTTACCTGCATGCAGATGGTGTTCAGGCTTAATGAAAACACACGGCCCAAAGCCTTGATGACTTTTCCCTGGGGTTTCGCAGGCATCATCTTCACTGGCTATTTCATGAAAGCCGTCTTAAGTTTCTGGTGAGCTCCTAGCTCTTTTCTGTAAGCTGTTTTGTTCCAGGAAGAGCAAATTCTGCATGCTTGAACTGATGTACAAGGGACAGCATTAAGCTCACTTTACAGTCTTCTGTGCTGAATGAGATGAGAGGAATGTCTCTGTAACCATCTTCCTGGCAGGGGGAGATGGTATCTAGTTCATCTGGCGCGTGTAAATGGTATCTGTTACGTTGCTGGAACCTTGCATGCGACTTCTTCTTTTTCTCTGAATTGCTCATTACCTACTATTTTAATGTCTCCAGACGCAAAGCTTATGCTTTAAGGCAGTGATGCAAAGTCGTAGCCAAGATGACAAAGTGTGTGGCATTATAAAGTGTTTATATTCCTGTAGATCGCTGCTTATTTTTAGCAGTGTAGTTTCTGTGAGTGAATGAGTCATATTGGCCTGCACATTTTGCAGTGACTTGAATGTTAGTTTCTCAATACTAGGAGAAGAACCTTAAAAGTTAGTGGGTTTTGTTGTTGTTTTGGTGTGTTTTTTTTTTTTAATTTGTTTCATGATTTTTCTTTAGTGGTTGGTGTTGAAAAGTCATCGCTGTCTTTGGCAAAGCAGAATACATGGAACCTGTGTGAATTTTCTTTTATGGACTGTAATGGGCCAAGCTTTAATTGTTGATGCAGAAGAAAGCAAAGAGGAGATGGGAGTGGTCTGACCCTTCAAAACTGGAGTGGTCTTCAGTTCTACTCCTGAGGCTTTATCCCAGACATTTGGAAGTTGTGAAATGTGAAACTAAATAAAAGTGTGCGTCTTTAGAAAGTAAGTGGTGGCACCAACCTGCAGGGAGGTCAGTGCTTGCTTCAAAAGGAATGAGCTGCCTTCTGTTGCCATGTATAAACTTGGTCCGTGCATGTAGCCGGCCTCTCTTTCTCACCTGGTTCTGAAAAACTGCATGTGAGAATAGAAATTCATCTCCGAACTTGTAGATCGAGGTATCCTGCTCCCAGTCTTGCTGCAGTTGTTAACTGTTAATTGGAGATTGGAGTGTTTACAATGACAGAGCCAAGATTTGCCAAATGCGGATGATCCAGTTCTGGAACTGGAAAGCATTATTAAAGAAGTATTGGTATTTAATGTAGGTGGTATTTAATAAGCATGGGAATCTTGATTAAGCAATTACCTTTTTTGTTAGCTGTATCAACATGTGAACAATTTTCCTTTCATGGTCAGTGTTCCCTCTGCAACTGCCTGTCAACAAGGGTGGGCTTTGCACTGTTTGTAGGAATTGTATGGGAATGGATCATGTAATTAAAAAACAGTAGTGCATCTTATTTGCAGCAAACACAGGAATAGCTGTTGCAGTGCTGCTTCGGTGATGTATGATGAAATAGCCCAAATACTGGTCGTGGTCAGAGTGCTTATAGGAGGACAGCTTGTGTAGGAGCATACCGGCTAACTTTTCAGTTTGGAGGTGTGAGGCTTTTATTGCCAGGCAAGGATGGGCATTGACGTTTTATTTAGGGTTTAGGCACTGTTAGCGAATCATGGGTTTCTTAGTCTCGGGCATTATTATGAATAAACTTGACTCATATTTTGGAAAGAGGTAGGCATCTTGGGGAGGGGTGGGGAATTGCATGTGATAATTCGCTGCTTCTATGGTTTTTGTTTTGGGGGAAAAAACAACTCAAGTATTTGCTTGTAGATTCTTTGTAGTGGTTTAATTATATTGCAGGCATGTGGGGTGGGGAGGAGAGGGCGAGAAGATAGAGCTAATCCATATTTGATCATAAGAGACAAAACTGTTACTAAAGATGAGTGGCCTGTGTTCTCTGTTTTCTCATGGCGTCTGATTTTTGTGTAAGCAGCAGTGTGGGAGTATGTTGAATAGGTGAGAACCGAGTTGCATAGTTGGTGGATGTGAGGACTGCTGAGTTCTCTCCCACATAGTTAAAATGTGATTAATGAAGGGCTTGCATAACTTGTATTACCGAGATGGCGGGGGAAATGAGATTGGATATGTGTGGCTGTTTTGCAAGGTACGGTTGGCTGAGAAAAGCATAAAGGGCCAAGTCTGGGCTGTGCGTGGGCCATGAGTTGAGCCCTGTAGCTATGGTCAGAGGTGTCCCCTGCCTGAAAGGTCCTCCCCTCCAGGAGACAGTGAGCAAGTCTTACAGGAGGAGACAGACTAGAGGAAGATGGAAGAAAGAAGAGAGTACGTATGGCCGTGTTTTGTTGTCCTCAGTCATGTTTCACTCTTCTGTGTATTTTCCCCTCAGAGCATGGAGGCCATCATTAACCAGGTGTTTTTGCAAGTCCATTAATCCCTTGGGTGACATCCTATAAAGCAGCCTCAGGAATCTGTTTCGCCATGGTTAGGAAAGATTGGGGTTTGGTGTGGATAGACCTGCCTGTTGTGAGGGAGCTGGAGGGATCGTCATCTCCCTGTTGTTCCACCTCCTCTCCACAGCTCCAACTCCTGTGGCAAAGCATGAAATTCGTTTCCAATGTAATCGATTGGAGTAAATAATTGATGTAACAAGAATTGCGGTTTCCAAGGTTCTGTTTAAAAAATACAGCTACTTCCAGCTACTGACTTAATTACGTAGTCACTCTTGGGCCTGCCTTAGTAGTCTCTTTTTACACTCACCTGTCCCACCCAGTTTTAGTGGAGTAACTGCTTAAACAGATCGTGGCATGTGAGCCATGACTAGAAGCACCTTTTCATCATAGGTGTCTTTATTTTCCTGAGAATATCTTTGTCAGACTCTTTGAGGATGACCCACACTGTAATTATTTCCCTGCAATCCTGGATATAGAATCCATCCTTCCTTTAGGTTCTGAAATTATACCTACAAACTAAGGCAGAGGAAAAAGAATACCAGACATGCGTTGTATTTTCTTCAAAATTTGTTTACCACTGTCAAAATTTGTTTACCGCTGTCAGTGAAACTAGTAGAATGCTATTTCTTCTCTTAGGTGCATTGGTTTTATTTTGTTGTGGGATGGAATAATTATTTGTTGCTGTGGATTATAGAAAGCATGACTGTAACTCTCTGAACTGAAACAGCAATTTCAAATAACACCATATATTATTATTAGTGTGTTTTCCCCCCAAATTGTAACCCTCTGTTGGAGCAAGCAGAAGATAACTTTTATATGTGTTAGGAGTTGCCCTCTGAGCAGAAAACGGGAGATGCTCAAGGTCAGATGACTTGGTAACATTTAGTGGGTGCATGACCCCTCTATCAAATACATCTGAATATCCTTCAAGATACAGAAGGGACCAAGGAGTTCTCTGGTGCTGCATGGCAGTTTTGCCATCCTTCTCTAGGCTTTCCGAGGTCCCTTCTCCCAGCACGCTGTGGGTGGAGAGGTGGTGCTTCCCAGGGAGCAGGAACTGGTGTCAAGCAGCCTGTCTGCTTGGCTGGGCAGCCAGGGGCCGTGGTCCAAGGACCACTCAGAAACCATTTCTTGAAATGTCCAGCTTACCTGGAAGCTACTTTCTGTGCTGTGGAAAAGAAGGAAACTTGGAAATAACACCTTCATAGGAGCAAGAATAACTAGTGCTAAGGAGCTATGTACACCCCTTTTTTTTTTTTTTTTGTTCTCCCTCTACACCCCCATAACAGCAGTATATCCAGAGTTATAAGTTAAAGCCCCAAATGTGCAAAACAGGAACTTTTTTTTTTTTAAGGTTTAACAGGCTGTGGGACAGCAGACCCAGGGAACTCCATCTCTTGGGCTCTGCAGGAAGGTTGGGAGGGGTCTCTCCGTTGTTTAGCCAAACACAGACTTCTGGAAGAAACAGGCAGAATCCTGTGGCCGGAGAGAGTTGGAGCAGGTGGTCGTAATGGTCTCTTCTGATTTAAAATCTAACAGTTCTCACACACACCAGTTGCTGTGTTTTGAATCGTGTAGGAGGGTGCTTTCTGATAGAATGGGAGCATGAAATCAGGCAGGAATGGGGTGTGTAGTAGCCATTGCCTACGGTGGAAAAGATTGCCTGGTGTGGGCAAAAAAAAAAAAAAAAAAAGCTCAATGGGAAGTATCTCTCCTCAGCAGAGATTGAACAGGGGAAATGTCTGCTGCCCCAGGCTGAAGAAAGTCTCGTTCTTCCACTGACTTTTAAGACTATCAGAGGACACTGAAGAGAAAGTGCAGTTTGTTATAGTAGCTGAAGGGGATGGGTTTTGTCCAAACTTGATTCCAGGGCTAAACTACTTGCTTTATTTTTGGCTGTAACTGCAGAGGGCTGGTGGGAGAGAAGGAAAATGAAATTTAAAGCTTCATTATTCTTGGCCCGTGTTTAGCGTCTACTAAATGTTCCTGAAAGTTCATGTGGCTGCTTTAAAGACACCTTGAGACAGGCTGTTTTCTCTGTGTTTAATGCAGAAGTCTACTGAGTAGGACTGCAGGTGTGTAAGAGCAGTCTGTCATGATATGATGTGCTATATGAAGTTTTGCTCATGTGCCATGCTTGAGATGTACAGCTGGTACTTTGAGTAGTCTATCTAATGTGGCTCTTGCAACTGCTGGAAAGCCAAGCAAAGCACTCTAGTCCTGATCAGGCACTGCAACTGGCGGAGGAGGGGAGGGTACTTAGTGGAAACGCAGAGCTGGATCTCTGGCTGGGTTTGGGATGGGTTTGGCAGACACCACAATGTAACAGAGGGCACTGCAAAGATGAGCTGGACATTATCTAGGGAGGCTTCTGGTTTAATTTATCTTTGTGTTAACAAGTTTTGGGGTTTTGTTTGGGGTTTTTTTGTTTGTTTGTTTGTTTTTCCCCTCAAGTGGCAGGATTAAGTTTACAGATATAGGAATGGCTATTTAAGCAGTTACTTGCAAAGGCATAGAATGACAAAGCTGAAATCTCTGTATCTGCAAGTGTGATACCTGATTACTTCATAGTGATGAACAAGATTTGGCTTCAGGTGGCTGTAGAGTTAGTGTGATGCTGATCTTCCAACATATGAAAAGGTACCTTTTTACCTTCATTTAAATATTAAAAGAGCTCTCAAGTATTCATATTAAGTGAGATAGGCAGACATAAATAGAGATATGAAAAGTCTGTTTACGCAGAAAGCTGAAAAAGGAGCCTCAGAGCCACTGCTGAGTAACCTGGATTATGTCTCTGTGGTATTGTATTCGTGCACTGAGTTGCTTTGCTTTATATTGGTTTTCTGTAAGGTAAAGTACTTATGTTGCAAAAATGTCTGCTGTGTAGAATTGAAATTTACTTATTTGGATATTTACCGATATCAAAAGGTCTGAAAAAATAAACAGCAATAAGAATACAATGCTAGTTGTAAAGTTTAGCTAATTCTTCATGCAATTAAGTGTGATTTTTTTAAAAAAAAATATTTACATCTGTTTTGCAGGAGAAACTGTAGAAGGCCTTCGAGAGAGCGATTATCTTCTGATTCATTCATGTCGGCAGTGGACAACAATTACAGCTCACAGTCTGGAGGAGGGTCACTACGTCATAGGGCCAAAGATAGAAATCCCTGTACATTATGCAGGTAAAGCTATTGTGGACCTGAAATACAAATTCAAAGAAAATTAATTGCTTACCACTTACACTGATCACTTTGACAGAGGGAAGCTAAGCGTCTGATGCCATGTCTGTGACTTAACTTTTTAATAATGTTACAGAGCGCAAGAGATACTAACTTACCCTCAGGGCTACTAAATAGATGTATTTCACTGGGCAACAGGTTGACAGAACATGTAGCTATGTAGAAGAATTGGTTTCCATTTGAGTGTAACAAACTGCTTCTCATCTGTGAACTTGGTGACAAAAGTGTGAAAGTTGGAAAACACCTTGAAATGTTGTGTCGAAGACGGAATGGGTTTTACACTTCATTGCATATTCAAGTTGGAGGGGATTTTTTTTTATTATTTCCATGTTAAAAGCCAGGGATCCTTCATACTAATACTGCAGTTTTACACCAGTGCTCCCTGGTAGTTCCTTGTCACTGTCTGCCTTTTTGGATGATGCAGTAATACTGTGGTTCCAAGTAGATATGATGGAACCATATCATATTTATTTTATGATTTCAAATTATTTTTAATTTTCTAGGAAATTATTTTTAATACTGTTTCCCATTGCTTAATGTCCTTCTTCATAAGCTGAATAGAACAATACTGTACTAGTAGGAAGTGCTTATCTTACTTCAGTAGATACAAGAATTTAAAAAGCTGGACAGTGTGAACTGAAAGAGCCATGGCTACAAAGCAAAGATGTGGGCTGAGTGATTTACGTGGTCTTCTGCACAGCCAATTGTCAATTGAGTAATCTACTCCACTCTCTTACAGTCTCCTTTAAAATGTTGGTGCAAAGAGGGTGTGCTGAGTTCAGGAGCTGACTGAAGTGTTTTGTTTCAATCACACCAGTGCTGCAACTGCAGTGATGCACCCTATTTCAGTGATGAGCTTACACCACTTATCTTCTTATATACTGTTTCTCCTTGGAGCTCACTTCTGGAAGGTTAATTTTTTGAAGACTTGTTTAAAAGCTTTGGTGTGGTGGCATATAGTGTCATAATATACATGGCTTTAAAACTCTCTAATTGAAACTTTCTTATTATAAACAATTTCTAGTGCCTGTGCTTAGTAACATTGATTTATTTATTTATTTATTACACCTTCTGGCTGCTTAAGCTTCAGTGATGTGGGCAGATAAACACTTCACTTCCTTCAGACTGAATGGTGCATTTTAAAATCCTCACTGTGATTCCTGGAAGAAGGAGAACAGAAAATAAACTCGTTATTGGCATGAAAGAAGATTGGATTGTAAGGGGTTTACTAAAGCTTGGTTCTTAATTTTTAAAGAAATTAACGAAGATCTGCTAAGCAGGATTTCTTGACTCTTCATACTTCCATTCATTCATAGCTTAAATTTACACAGATACCAGCAAAAATCAAAATCTGTCCCCTAAGATATTGCAAAAGTATCAATGTGTTTTTCTTCCTGGCTTGTGTTAATGCAGGAAAAGAGTGTATCTTTAGCTGGCAGAACATGTTTTGCTGTCAAACAGTCTCCAGAAAGTTCCCTGCCATAAACCCCTCATTAATGAGATGAAAATACAGGAAAGTTCAGAAACTGACATGTAGTGAGAGCGCTTACTGAATATGTGATGGGCTCCGATGCTGCCAAAGGAACTTCTCAACACCGATCAGTGCTAACTTGCGGTACCAGAGCATGTCTGCTGGACTTGCCTACAAGAAAGGAGAGATGAGTCTAAGCACGTGAAGGTTTAGTTAGCAAAGCGCTGCAATCTGGTGTATCTAAATGCATTTGGAAACATCTTCCATACCCGAAAGATAAATTTATGCTACTGTGGAGTACCATACAGAAATCTATGAGCTAACACTGAGTGCGCTTTCAGCATCGCATTGTGCAGTGCCTCATGGCATCACTGCTTTTGGGATCCAAACCCCAAGCTGAAGAGGTGCAGTTTAATGCAGCTGGCTAAGATGACTTGCTGGGCTGGGTACTGGCCTGATACAGGGATGCTGCTAGCTCTGGAGCTGGCTGGGGCATCTGCCTGTCAGAACTTTACATCTTTGCAGAAAACACAACTAGAACAGTTGGCAGAATGTTTATATGGGGCTCAGCCATTAGGTTTTGTTTTTAGAGGAGGGATTTTATGTCCTCCTAGGCGAATGTTTGTGAACTGTGTTGCTGTATAAATTTTGGATTATAGGGCTGCTTTAAACTTCTGTCAAGACGTGTATTATGAACACATAGCTGACATTACTGCTTATACTGCCTGCTAGAATGACCCTTAGACATTGAAGAATTCATTACAATGACTTTAATGACTTTCCAGGTTTGTTTGTGCTTTAATGGTATAAATTCTTTTTTTTTTTTTTTTCCCTAGCAGAATTCTAATCTAGCAAATTGCAGCATTATTTTGGTTGTGACAGTTGAGCAGGAAGGGAAGTTGAAATTGATGTTATTCTCCTAAGATTATGGGCTTAAGTACCACAAAGTCATCACTCACATATATAAATATGAGTATGAAGTAAATCTTATTTTACTACTTGCTAAATCAGGTTTTGATACACTTAAAGTGTTATTAAAGAAGGAAAATGCTGTATTTTACATTTAAGTGAAATCTCATTAATAGAACCTGAGTTCTGCAGTCCCCAGGCTGG